GCAGGTTTAAACCCAGGTTGTGTCAGGAAGGACGAAGGTACACAAATAAGAATCTTTACTCAAAATATTCAAAATAGAACTAAAACAGAATGTTAAATGCAGCACTTGTTGAATTTTTAGCAAGCAAAACTTTATTTTTGTTTCCAAGATACAGTAGGAATCCCAAAGTGCTTCAACAAACCCAAACAACAAACACACAAAGCAGATTTAAACTAAAACAGATTTAAAAAGATACGATTTGAGCTGGCCTTTAAAAGAGGCCACAGAGTCTGCTGATTTTAAATTCAGAGGAAGAGAGTCCCAAAGTCTTAGAGCCACATAACAAAAAGCTCTGTCACCTTAGTTTTGTGTGGGGAACGAACAGCATGTCTTTATCACAAGACCTCAAAGAGAGAGTAAGTTCAGCGATGTAGTGTGGTGTCTGACCATGCAGAGCTCGCCAAGTCAAAACCAAAATTATGATTTTCACTCAATAATGAACCAAGAGCCAATAAAGTTGCATTTACAATGGAGTTACATGACAAAATTCAGAAGATCCAGTACAATAATCTAAACAAGATGAAACAAAAGCATGAAGTAGGATTTCCATTTCTGAATGAGACACAATGGGGCCGAGCTTTGCTATATTTCATAGATGGTAGAAACAGGAATGAACCAAATATTTGACATGATGATCCAGTGTAAGACCAGAGTCAACAGTTATCCCACGTTTTCTAACTGAAGATTTAGCCAGACTGTCTAGAGGCCCAAGGATCTGCTTTATTGCTGGAGTTGTTTCTTCTGGTGCAAAGATGATAACTTGTGTTTTTTCTTCATTTAACTGAAGACAACTCTTAGTCATGCAGCTCTTAACTGAATCCATACATTTTATTAAAATACACATTTTTGTAGATTCGTTAAGAGAAARYGAGATGTACAACTGGATATCATCAGCATTAAAATGATAGGAAATATCCTCAAAAGATGACAAAATAGAAACAAGAGGGAGCATGTGAAAAAGAAATAACAAATGCCCCAAAATAGAGCCATGTGGAACACCAAAATRAACAGGACAGGAATGTGATYGGTAAGATGTAGCCAAAAAAGGCTGATCTGTCAGACAAATAAGAGGACAACCATTTTAAAGTAGAACCTGAGATACCAGCACAACTCCTCAGTCTAACAGGGTCGGATGGCCAACAGTGTTTGAAGCTGACGACTGATCCAACATGAGCATTATGCATCCATTTTCTTTACCCGCTTTTTCCTTCCTGGGTTGCAGAGGACCTGATGCTTTTTTGCTTCTTATTTATAATTCCTGAACTTTTTAGACCCTCTGAGAAGATTTGAGATTTGGTATTTTTCATGTTCTAAAACAGGCAACAAACCTGCATGTAAGATTATGTAGTCAAAATCTACCTTCATAAACAGGCTGCACAGAAGTAGCTGAAAATTAACAGACAGATAAGCTCTTTAAATCTCCAGACACCTTTACTGTCTGCAGGATTAGGGCCAAATAAATAAAGAGGGGCTATTAGGAGCTTGGGGGCTTTTGACAGAAGAGTAAGTTGTCATTGTGTAGAAGATTGTGTGGGAAGTGATTCTAAATATAATTGTGCCTTTCTGCCTATCTGCATTTTGTTTTTCCAGAAAAAAATAAAAATGCTCAAACACAGATAAAGRAGCTTTTAAAAATTATTCTTGAATTTTGTTTAACTCGGAGGATTTGTCTTAATTTGTTGTTGTTATTGTTGTTTTTTCTTTTTTTTCAGTTTCAGTCTGATCCATGTTTGCCTCTTATTTCTGGCTCCACATGCCTTCCCAAGAAAACAACCCAATGACAAAGTGGAGGCACTAGAACAGCATTGCAAAGCGCTTAAGAAGACAAACAGTGCAAAGCTCCATCATGCAGCTTTGTTTTTTTGTCATGACGTTTCAAATCTCTTAGATTATGGGCTGAAGGCAAAGCAGCATTTTAAAATATGTTTCAGTTATTTATTGTCATGTTTTAACAAATGATTACCTTACACTTTTTTAACTGTTAAAGAAAATAACCAAAAAACACCAAGAAAACTAAAATAAAATATTGCTGAAAAAGTAAAACACTCTGGAAGACAGACTTCAAATTGCTCTGTTGCAGTCTTGTCAAAATAGTCCTGTCTGAGGAGGTTTAATGTGACGGGCTGTTATATTGTGTGTTCCCTGTCAGAGAAAATCTTTGGGGCAGCAGGGACGTGTCACAAAGTAGTTTCCATTTAGGACAAATGAACAGCTGCTCAACTGTTGTCGAGATGCCTTTCAGTGCAGCTACAACTGCCATCTGTATTCATAACCCATTCTGACAGACATCCAAGAATAAAATAAGTTAATCTCCATTCACTTCCGTTGGGGGTGTGCATGTTTGCATGGTGCATTCAGTAAGGACACGGTTAGCATTTGTGTGTTTGCTTGACTGTAATTGCAAGTGTTTATTGAGAGGGGAGGTCAAAATGAAGAAAAKTAAGATTATTTCAAGGACACAACTTTAAGTTTGAACCGTCGCTTTACTCAAGACTGCAAAACAAGAAAACAAGTTTGGATTAGTGGTTTAGAGACTTAGACAAATTAGAGACAAATCAAAAGCCTGAATAAGAGAGAGAAAAAAGGCAGCTTTCACTGTAAAGTTAATGAAGCAGAGCACATTTAATGTTCCTCACTAAAGCTGACAGCTGTGTATACCCTTCTAAAGCTTTGCGTCTCATTCCCAGGCCTTTTGCCAGAAATCCCTTACACCTCCATCTGTCGAAGAAGAACCCTGAATGTTATTGACTTTGTCAAGATAAAGGTTTTGTGGGATTACATTTCGTTTTCAGATCAAACAGCTGTTTTGATTTGGCTTGCAGATGTTTGGTGCTCGATTTTAAAGCCCATCTTAAAATGAACGGAAATGACTTATTAGGAAATTAATGAATAAACTGGTGGTAGTAAGTCTTTGAGAACTCTATGAAGAACAAAAAAAGAACACATTAAATTGGGTCAAATTCATTGAATTTTAATCAAACTGTTATATCTCTAAAACAGAGGCGATTGCTCTAAGACTGCAAGGGAAGCTCAGCTTCCCCTAAAATGTAAAAAAACAATAAGTGATCAARCATATACTGTTTTATGAACATGTCATTGAATAAATATGCGCTACAACG